CTACGGGCTCGGAAAGTGCAACGAAACCATCAAATTTTAGCTAGAAACTGTATTTTTGTCGATTTTTATTGAATTTGAACTATATTTCAACGTTTTTTGATGGTTCTGAGCCACCAAACACACTTAAAGCATGCAGAATCGACTCAGAATAGGAAAAGGAGACGTTTAGGTCAATTTTATGCATTCTGGCGTTCGTAGATACAAGAAAACTGTTAAAATTCTTCAGAAACGTCACTTTTGAAGTGTTTTCTTGTACTTTTAAGCCAATCAGATACCCAACGGGCTCGGAAAGTGCAACGAAACCATCAAATTTTAGCTAGAAACTGTATTTTTGTCGATTTTTATTGAATTTGAACTATATTTCAACGTTTTTTTGATGGTTCTGAGCCACCAAACACACTTAAAGCATGCAGAATCGACTCAGAATAGGAGAAGGAGACGTTTAGGTCAATTTTATGCATTCTGGCGTTCGTAGATACAAGAAAACTGTTAAAATTCTTCAGAAACGTCACTTTTGAAGTGTTTTCTTGTACTTTTAAGCCAATCAGAAACCCTACGGGCTCGGAAAGTGCAACGAAACCATCAAATTTTAGCTAGAAACTGTATTTTTGTCGATTTTTATTGAATTTGAACTATATTTCAACGTTTTTTGATGGTTCTGAGCCACCAAACACACTTAAAGCATGCAGAATCGACTCAGAATAGGAAAAGGAGACGTTTAGGTCAATTTTATGCATTCTGGCGTTCGTAGATACAAGAAAACTGTTAAAATTCTTCAGAAACGTCACTTTTGAAGTGTTTTCTTGTAATTTTAAGCCAATCAGATACCCTACGGGCTCGGAAAGTGCAACGAAACCATCAAATTTTAGCTAGAAACTGTATTTTTGTCGATTTTTATTGAATTTGAACTATATTTCAACGTTTTTTGATGGTTCTGAGCCACCAAACACACTTAAAGCATGCAGAATCGACTCAGAATAGGAAAAGGAGACGTTTAGGTCAATTTTATGCATTCTGGCGTTCGTAGATACAAGAAAACTGTTAAAATTCTTCAGAAACGTCACTTTTGAAGTGTTTTCTTGTACTTTTAAGCCAATCAGATACCCTACGGGCTCGGAAAGTGCAACGAAACCATCAAATTTTAGCTAGAAACTGTATTTTTGTCGATTTTTATTGAATTTGAACTATATTTCAACGTTTTTTGATGGTTCTGAGCCACCAAACACACTTAAAGCATGCAGAATCGACTCAGAATAGGAAAAGGAGACGTTTAGGTCAATTTTATGCATTCTGGCGTTCGTAGATACAAGAAAACTGTTAAAATTCTTCAGAAACGTCACTTTTGAAGTGTTTTCTTGTACTTTTAAGCCAATCAGATACCCTACGGGCTCGGAAAGTGCAACGAAACCATCAAATTTTAGCTAGAAACTGTATTTTTGTCGATGTTTATTGAATTTGAACTATATTTCAACGTTTTTTGATGGTTCTGAGCCACCAAACACACTTAAAGCATGCAGAATCGACTCAGAATAGGAAAAGGAGACGTTTAGGTCAATTTTATGCATTCTGGCGTTCGTAGATACAAGAAAACTGTTAAAATTCTTCAGAAACGTCACTTTTGAAGTGTTTTCTTGTACTTTTAAGCCAATCAGATACCCTACGGGCTCGGAAAGTGCAACGAAACCATCAAATTTTAGCTAGAAACTGTATTTTTGTCGATTTTTATTGAATTTGAACTATATTTCAACGTTTTTTGATGGTTCTGAGCCACCAAACACACTTAAAGCATGCAGAATCGACTCAGAATAGGAAAAGGAGACGTTTAGGTCAATTTTATGCATTCTGGCGTTCGTAGATACAAGAAAACTGTTAAAATTCTTCAGAAACGTCACTTTTGAAGTGTTTTCTTGTACTTTTAAGCCAATCAGATACCCTACGGGCTCGGAAAGTGCAACGAAACCATCAAATTTTAGCTAGAAACTGTATTTTTGTCGACTTTTATTGAATTTGAACTACATTTCAACGTTTTTTGATGGTTCTGAGCCACCAAACACACTTAAAGCATGCAGAATCGACTCAGAATAGGAAAAGGAGACGTTTAGGTCAATTTTATGCATTCTGGCGTTCGTAGATACAAGAAAACTGTTAAAATTCTTCAGAAACGTCACTTTTGAAGTGTTTTCTTGTACTTTTAAGCCAATCAGATACCCTACGGGCTCGGAAAGTGCAACGAAACCATCAAATTTTAGCTAGAAACTGTATTTTTGTCGATTTTTATTGAATTTGAACTATATTTCAATGTTTTTTGATGGTTCTGAGCCACCAAACACACTTAAAGCATGCAGAATCGACTCAGAATAGGAAAAGGAGACGTTTAGGTCAATTTTATGCATTCTGGCGTTCGTAGATACAAGAAAACTGTTAAAATTCTTCAGAAACGTCACTTTTGAAGTGTTTTCTTGTACTTTTAAGCCAATCAGATACCCTACGGGCTCGGAAAGTGCAACGAAACCATCAAATTTTAGCTAGAAACTGTATTTTTGTCGATTTTTATTGAATTTGAACTATATTTCAACGTTTTTTGATGGTTCTGAGCCACCAAACACACTTAAAGCATGCAGAATCGACTCAGAATCGGAAAAGGAGACGCTTAGGTCAATTTTATGCATTCTGGCGTTCGTAGATACAAGAAAACTGTTAAAATTCTTCAGAAATGTCACTTTTGAAGTGTTTTCTTGTACTTTTAAGCCAATCAGATACCCTACGGGCTCGGAAAGTGCAACGAAACCATCAAATTTTAGCTAGAAACTGTATTTTTGTCGATTTTTATTGAATTTGAACTATATTTCAACGTTTTTTGATGGTTCTGAGCCACCAAACACACTTAAAGCATGCAGAATCGACTCAGAATAGGAAAAGGAGACGTTTAGGTCAATTTTATGCATTCTGGCGTTCGTAGATACAAGAAAACTGTTAAAATTCTTCAGAAACGTCACTTTTGAAGTGTTTTCTTGTACTTTTAAGCCAATCAGATACCCTACGGGCTCGGAAAGTGCAACGAAACCATCAAATTTTAGCTAGAAACTGTATTTTTGTCGATTTTTATTGAATTTGAACTATATTTCAACGTTTTTTGATGGTTCTGAGCCACCAAACACACTTAAAGCATGCAGAATCGACTCAGAATAGGAAAAGGAGACGTTTAGGTCAATTTTATGCATTCTGGCGTTCGTAGATACAAGAAAACTGTTAAAATTCTTCAGAAACGTCACTTTTGAAGTGTTTTCTTGTACTTTTAAGCCAATCAGATACCCTACGGGCTCGGAAAGTGCAACGAAACCATCAAATTTTAGCTAGAAACTGTATTTTTGTCGACTTTTATTGAATTTGAACTACATTTCAACGTTTTTTGATGGTTCTGAGCCACCAAACACACTTAAAGCATGCAGAATCGACTCAGAATAGGAAAAGGAGACGTTTAGGTCAATTTTATGCATTCTGGCGTTCGTAGATACAAGAAAACTGTTAAAATTCTTCAGAAACGTCACTTTTGAAGTGTTTTCTTGTACTTTTAAGCCAATCAGATACCCTACGGGCTCGGAAAGTGCAACGAAACCATCAAATTTTAGCTAGAAACTGTATTTTTGTCGATTTTTATTGAATTTGAACTATATTTCAAAGTTTTTTGACGGTTCTGAGCCACCAAACACACTTAAAGCATGCAGAATCGACTCAGAATAGGAAAAGGAGACGTTTAGGTCAATTTTATGCATTCTGGCGTTCGTAGATACAAGAAAACTGTTAAAATTCTTCAGAAACGTCACTTTTGAAGTGTTTTCTTGTACTTTTAAGCCAATCAGATACCCAACGGGCTCGGAAAGTGCAACGAAACCATCAAATTTTAGCTAGAAACTGTATTTTTGTCGATTTTTATTGAATTTGAACTATATTTCAACGTTTTTTGATGGTTCTGAGCCACCAAACACACTTAAAGCATGCAGAATCGACTCAGAATAGGAAAAGGAGACGTTTAGGTCAATTTTATGCATTCTGGCGTTCGTAGATACAAGAAAACTGTTAAAATTCTTCAGAAACGTCACTTTTGAAGTGTTTTCTTGTACTTTTAAGCCAATCAGATACCCTACGGGCTCGGAAAGTGCAACGAAACCATCAAATTTTAGCTAGAAACTGTATTTTTGTCGATTTTTATTGAATTTGAACTATATTTCAACGTTTTTTGATGGTTCTGAGCCACCAAACACACTTAAAGCATGCAGAATCGACTCAGAATAGGAAAAGGAGACGTTTAGGTCAATTTTATGCATTCTGGCGTTCGTAGATACAAGAAAACTGTTAAAATTCTTCAGAAACGTCACTTTTGAAGTGTTTTCTTGTACTTTTAAGCCAATCAGATACCCTACGGGCTCGGAAAGTGCAACGAAACCATCAAATTTTAGCTAGAAACTGTATTTTTGTCGATTTTTATTGAATTTGAACTATATTTCAACGTTTTTTGATGGTTCTGAGCCACCAAACACACTTAAAGCATGCAGAATCGACTCAGAATAGGAAAAGGAGACGTTTAGGTCAATTTTATGCATTCTGGCGTTCGTAGATACAAGAAAACTGTTAAAATTCTTCAGAAACGTCACTTTTGAAGTGTTTTCTTGTACTTTTAAGCCAATCAGATACCCTACGGGCTCGGAAAGTGCAACGAAACCATGAAATTTTAGCTAGAAACTGTATTTTTGTCGATTTTTATTGAATTTGAACTATAACCCAAAAATAATTTGTTGAAGGTGCCCTCTTTCGATGTCGATGTGTTCTCCGATATATCTTCCGATGGCATAAACGATACAAACGAGTGGAAAAAAAAAGTACACTATAAAACATCACGCGATAAGAGTGTCCAAAACCGATCCGGCCAAAAAACTAATAAACAGCAGAAAATTCCGAAGGTTAACAATAATAAATCCGTTTTAGACCCAAAGGTTATCCCGTTTATTCCATCTAATCCATCATTAAACGTAGCATCGTCGAACATGGAAAAAAATGAAAAAAATGAAGAAATATCTTCTCACAACGCCCTAAATGATGCCGAAGGTTTTCAAACTGTTGTCTCAAGAAAGAAAAAGCGTAACTTCATTCGAGGTAAAGCTTCTGCTACAAATGAAAATGATACGTTGATAAAGGCTGTGCCGCGAAATGGGTATATCTATGTCGGTAATTTACATCCAAACACGTCTGATAACGATTTGAAGCTATTCTTAAAGTCTAAATTCTCTGATAAAGAAATTAGTGTTGACAAACTTCCTAAGAGGCCTACTGCCAAAAGCGTGTCATTCAAAATCACAGTGGAGAAAACAATTTTTAAGGATTTCTTCAAGGAGGAATTATGGCCGGAAGGAATTTTAGTGAAAAAATTTTACTTCTTAAAAAACGAAAAAGTGAATACGTCCCTAATGAATTAATAGAAAATTTCTGTTTCAAAGGGGCCAGTTTTCGAATTTTATTTTTAAACATACAGTGCATTAGAAACAAATTTAATATGCTTTTTTCAGAAGTGGAAATTCTAAAAATAAATTGTATCTGCCTTTGTGAACATTGGTTGAACCATATCGAAATCGATAATATTCATGTGCCCGATTTCAACACGGCAGCATTTTTTGCGCGGTCTTCAAAGAAGCATGGAGGAGTCATGCAGCTGATGCACCAAAGTATCCCCTTCAAGATTCTGTCTGATAAGGTATCAGCACTTTCTGCTGAGGTGGATTGCGAATTATGCGGCGTACTTATCACTAAGTTAGATTTAATTTTAATAACGGTTTATCGCTCGCCAAAAGGCGATTTTCATAAATTTATTGATACTATAGTCATTCTTCTTAATGAAATTCATTGCAAATCTAAATACGTCATAGTGGGTGGAGATTTTAACTTATTATTTGGCACTAATGATGCAAAAGCCAATTATTTTTGTAATCTTTTGTCTAGCTACGGCTTATATTCTACTGTCAGATTTAAAACGCGTTATAACAACACACTTGATAATGTGTTTACTAATATTAATTCAGATATGATAAATATAACACCTGCTAAACTTTATCAGTCGGACCATACTGGAATATGTGTAAATGTTACTCTAAAGGAAGCTGTATTCGATAACTCATTTATCCCTAAATATGTAAGGCCCATCTCACAGTTTGGGAAAATCATGTTTTTTAATTTATTACAACAAGTTGATTGGAGTTTCATTGATCAAAATTGCGACTTTAATGCGTCTGATTTGTTCTCGATCTTTATAGATACGCTACTATTGTATTATAATATCGCCTGTCCTGAGAAGAAACTATCGTGTAACAGATCCAAGGTCCATAATATAATAGTAGTTATATAGTGGGGGTTCTAGACCAGGTCAAATGAGGTCAAACTGGTCCAGCTCCCCCATTACTTTTCATCGAGCGGTCATTGACCTTTCATTTGTTGTCGACCTTGTCGGTGCACGTGGCTGACCTTGCCAGCTGGTCCAGCTCCCCCATTACTTTTTATCGAGCGATCATTGACCTAGTCGTTGCTCGACCTTGGTCGTTTATTGCCCTCGTTCATCTCGAGATCTATCCCCTCTTTTCGTTTAGGTCGGGGAGGGATCTCGGACGCAATCTCGCATCCCCACTTCCGTTTTATACTTGTATAAAAGTCGATGGATTCGTGTGTAAGAATTAATTAGTTTTTTGAATTCAATTATTTAACACTTAGAAATGTCATCTTTCATTTCTACCTTGAATAAAGAGTCTCACTTGCAAGCTTTTGTGAGTGCGAAAACTTTAGAAGAAAATAAAAAATTTTTAACAAAAAATTTTAGTAAACTGTCTACAAAGTACGGTGACAAGATATTTGTGCAACTTGAAGAGTCTAGAACGATACTTCCACAGAGATTTACCGAAAAATTCACCGACTCAGTGATCAGCGATCTGAACCAGAAGATCGTGAACGGCTTGAAATTGTACTTGGTAAATAGAGGTCCGATCGGTCGAACCATCAATATCGAATTTATCGAAGAATGAAGAAGGCATTGGTTCATGTGGAAAACAAATCAAGTGCAGTTAGACTGCTTCGTCGTAGATTAGAATTACATTTAAAACGAATTAGTTATTTAAAAGAAGCAATTAAAATGTATGAAATAAGAACTAAATTGAATAATCTTAAGCTGTAATAGAAATTATAATAAATATTATTTAATTCGTTCGGTGTATTATTTTCCCCAGTCTCATGTAAAAAATATTTGATTGCAAACTGTCATGAATAACAGACGTGTTTGTTTCGACAAAGTTCCGGTTATTTTCTTAATAAATGATAAAGAAAGCCGAATTAATACTTGGTTATACGATGTTAAAAGATTTCAAATGAATGTGGAACGTTTCGAATTGCAAATAAAGCCCTTAATCGAAAAAATGATGGAGAAGAAGCGAAAATTTAGAGAAACAATCGAAAAATTGGATTCAGAATTGAAAATTATTCAGCAAAGAAAATCAGTTAAATAACTGTGCACATTGCGGTTAAACCACTGCGTCGTAAATTAGATTTAAATTTAAAACTTATTAGTTTCTTAAAATGTATAAAATACGAACTAGTTTGTATAATCTTAAGCTGTAATTGAAATTATAATAAATATTGTTTATTTCGTTTGGTGTATTATTTTCCCCAGTCTCATCTAAAATTATTTAATTGGGAATAACAGCAACGAATAAAAGCCGTGTTTGCTCCGACAAAACTCCTGTTATTTTCTTAATAAATAAATGTTCATCAGCAACTTTCTGCCGATTTAAGCTTATTTGTCAGTGATTATTAGAATAAAATCTCAAATGTCAGAAGGCGAGTGTGTTGTTAAAAATTAAAAAAATTGTTACTTACGACATTGAAAACAGGCAATAAAATCATCCGTTCTCCCTCGAAAACATTCAAATACACGCACACTTCACAGAAGCCACCATTTAGTTCAACAAAACCACCTTTTTCCCAAATCTTTTCACGGTAAAATTCATAAACCGAAACACGCCGCCCGTCATTATTACAACACAGAATGAAATAACGCGATGCTGTTTCAGCAAATTCTTACGGAACTGGACGCTCTTATCTTCAATAGACAGGGACGTATTCGGAAATATTAAAAAAAAAGAATTATCGCTTGAGGGTGCCAAAGGGCAGAAAGTTTGTTAAAAAAATAAAAATGCATCCCTATAAACTAATGACACATTTGTGTAAAAATAAATGTGGGTTGGAGGTGCAATAATTGTTTAAATATAAAAAAAAAATGTTTTACTCGAAGACGGTAAGAGATACGAGGTTCGTGCAAAGAACAAAAAAGTTCCTAAAATACGAAACACATGCACCTGTGTCGACGGTTTTTAGTTTGAGTTTAGCATTTCGGAGAAAAGGGCAAAAGTTTGTGGTGACCAAACGGAATTAGTTAAAAATTTGTTTTTTGTGTCAAAATATTTTTGGATGAATAATCAATAGGTCCATGTAATTAAATATGTGAAAATTTGAGTTTGGGGCGCAACAATTTTTGTCAAAAAAGGTTGTCAAAATTCGAAAAAAAGTTTTCCTTGAGCAGTAGGAAAGTAAATTAGAAGTTTTGGTGAAAAAAAAAATTTAAAAAATTCAAAGAATCCAAAGAAAAATTAAAACAAAAAAAATCTCAAAAAAAAAATCCAAATTTTGAAAAGTTAGTTTTTCCACAAAATCAAATGCATATTCATGAAGTACTATCTAATCGTGTGTAAAAATGATTATGACTCATAGGTGTATCTACCGTTTAAATAGAAAAAATTTTTGTTACTCGAAAATGGTAAGAGATAGGAGGTTCGTGTATAGAGCAAAAAAGATTGACAAAAACAAATAATATCGACAGCCGTCGACGGTTTTTCGCTAACTTTTGACATGACTGTGAAAAGGGCAAAAGTTTGTGGCGCCCAAACGGTAAAACTTAAAAAATATATTTTTGTACCAAAATATTTCTGAGTGAACAGTCTATAGGTCCACTTAGCAAAATAAATATTTTTTGCTACCGTTTAGTAGTAATAACGAAAAAACGTCATAGTTCGTAAGCGGTAAGAGGTAGCATGTCGGCTCAGGGGAACGGGGAAAAGCTAAAAAAATTAAGCCATATGTTGAGCAAAAAAAATTTTCAAAAAAGTTGAAAATAAGGGAGAAAAGGGCAAAAGTTTCTAGTGTCCAAATGGTAAGAGATAGAATATCGGTTGTATACATCAAAACCTTCTTCTGGAACGAACGCATAAGTCTGCTCAAAAAAATCGATTCTGTCCACATCGACCTAGATACAGGAGCCATTTCTAGTTTTTTCGAGGTCGCTACGTAAAAATTTTTTCAGGTCGAAAAAAAGACCATCGAAAAAGGATTCGAATAAGCCCAACATGCAACACTTAAAAAAAAAAAAAAAAAAAAAAAAAGCGAAATAGGTTGTTCTTTATATGTATTGTTATATGACTACTACCATCACAACTAAATATACTAAGACATTAAAAAAAAAAATTTCAAGTTAACCAAAAACGGCTTTTTGTTGAATTTTATATGAAAACAACAAAACATCATTAAAAAACGAAAATCAAAAACCTATAAACAATCATCAAAAATCACTGCTGTGGTGGTAGATCGTGATGAGTCATATCGTGCTGCTGGACAAATAATTTAAAACATATTAAATAACTTATTGTTGTATTAAATCGTAGTACTGATGCTGTTAAATAAATATGTTAAAGGACATTAAATAAAACTATTAATAATAACTAATTGTTTTATTGAATCATACATTTGTTTGAGTATTGTATTTACTAAAATAACTGAAACAAATTAGTACTAAATAAAGTAACAGACAAAATACGATTGCAAAAATAATTGCTCCTACTGAAGTAAATATCCATATCCATGGTTTTGCCAAACAATATTCTGTAACATTTGCACCTGTAGAATTCTTGTATCCACTATAATCGTTAAAGATGGTGTAATTCGGAGACTTGCATCGAGTGTTGTCTTTGAAGACTAATTCTAGCCGATATTGCAGTTGGTTCGAGGAAGATACATATTTTGAATAAAACATACGTAGTTGTTCATGCCCATTTTTAATTTCTAACATTTTTCTAACAGTACATTCTTTACTACTATCAATAGTTTGTAGATAGACATCAGTAACATTGCTATCAGTCAATAAATAAAAATCTTTCTGAATTAGAATGGTTGATAGAACAAGTGTGCAGTTTAAGCCGAACATTGTTTGGATGAAATGAATAGTTTGTTGTTGCGGAATTCTATATATATAGCAACAACCATCACCACCACCATTAACGAGCAGCCAGGTCCCAACATCCCACTATTACAGTCATTATCGTGAATATGACAAAAAATGAAGCAAACCATACACGATCGTTTCTTAAACAAAAATCAATGACCTCCTTTGAACTGCCACTGTTCTTAGTATTTTCTATTATTAACCAATTGGAAAATTGGTGATTTTCTTCTTCCGTTTTTATCTTGTACGTCAAATGATTCTGCATTGTTATATTTTTCGCATAGAAGAGGTGATAACTGGTTTCGATTAGATTGATCGGAGTCATTTTTTCCCAAAATTCTTTTTCGTACGTCTAAATATACAGCAGACTTATATTTGAAGTGGTGTAAATATTCAAGTTGTTTTCAACTAGCACACTTAATAGTATTAACACATTGCTAGGCAGACACATCTTAGACTTATCTTCTTGTACACAGACACAAATACTTAGTTGTGGTCGTTGATATTTGTAGGGAAGAAATTTTTAGAGGTGGTAAATGATGGTGTGGTAAATGATGGTGGTGGGGTGATAGCGATAGAAATAACAAATTATTGTTTTCTTATATATTTGTTAAATGTCGCATGGTAGGCGTTTAAGGCTGTTCTATCTAAAAACAGGGATCTATCTAACTTTGGGACATAGGTCCCTGAGAATTCGTTGTCCCAGTTTTCCACTTGCGGTGGTGTTGGTGGTGGTTGGCTGAACCACTTTGATGGTGGTGGGGGTGGTGTAGATGGTCTTGGAAGTGCATTCTCCCAGAGTTTTCGCTCCCTTTCCCAGGCATCCCGGTGGCATTTGAAAATATGCTTTCTCAGCCTATTCTCTAAAAGCCTGTGGCTGACATCATAGGGGCAGATAACAAATTTCTCTATACAAAAAAAAAATTAAATACTACAAAAAAAATATATATATATAAGCTTACCCATTTCTGTCGTTAATTAATTTTTATGATATGTACTTGCAGAACACTTATTAATCTGTTCTTTTGTGTGATCTTTAATTTATACACTATATTAATCCCCAC